ATCCCTTAAGTTTCCTTGGAGGATACTATCAAAATGAGAAGACTCAAAATAGCTATCTTCCAGAACACGACATTGTGGTTTTAAATTTGAAAGTATTCCCAGTATAGCTTTAGTATCTGCTGATGTGGTCACCTCAATTCTAACAAGTCACATTCTTAGAACTGCATGTTTATACATAGCATGCCAAAATAACATCCAAATTTAGTCAATCAATTGATTTTCTTTAAAATAAAATAGTACTGTTTTTATAAAGCCAACATAGTCATTTAGTAAAATTCTGGAATATGACATTGCAAATTATGTCCCTAGTAGGCCTAAATATTGCCAATTCACTTATAGCCACCTTCCATAAATTCTCCAATCCTCCAAATTAACTACAAGTTTGTTAATTCTAAATCATCAGGTTATCCTTAATATTCCATCTTCATGTTTCTTTTTATAAACACATTTTGATGCTAAAATTTATGCATAAAAAGATAATGTTCTTTCTTTTTGGATATGAGGATTCTACTGTTGACTTTCATTTTTCAGTATTTCAGTGTGTAATGATCCATTTGGACTGTTTTTTGTGTCCCAGTCAATCTCCAATTTTATACACACTTTACATTGCCAAACCTTTCATATTTGTTCACCAAGTTTTGGAATGTAATCTTTGTCTCTGAACAATAATTTTCTTATTGTTTCAGTGGAAGAAAATCAGTTTTTTCAAAACAAAGTAAATCAGTGCCCTCAAGTAAGCATTATACCTACAGAGTGATCTGTGATTTGAAATATGCTCTAAGCCACTAAACTACCTTAGGTAGAATTATAAATTAATATTTTTATATTCTAATTTTTTAATTCATGAAATTGGAGCTCATTTTACACCAGAGGCTTCTGAGAAATATTTGAATCCAGATGCCCGAAGGTTTTATTGTTTTCCAATATCAATTGAATCTTCTGCAAACAAAAGAAAGAAAGCAATCTTTGATCATTTCTGTATTTCTATCTTGACATTTGTTTGATTTCCTCATGCCAGCATACTGCAAAGTTGATTCTAAGATTATTCAGTACTTGGATACTTCAACATGGTAATTTTATATGTCTGAAAATGTACAACTGATTTTCTTAAATCTTGACTTTCTATAATTAACAATAATTATCTAATTTTCAATATGTTTCTGTTATGGGTATTTTTTCCAAATTAAAATTTAAAGTCTTATTTTACAATGAGACAGCTCTTTATTTTTAATTAAACAAGCAAAATAAACCCTATAAAACTCGTGAAAAATTATTTTGAAAAATATAACAAATCCACATGATAAAAAAAGACTACCCTTTTATATCACCACTATAATAAAAAGTTTTGTTTTTTCATTTAATCAGCATTAATAGATTAATGCAAGAAGATAAAAGACATTTATTTTTATCAATATAAAAATATAGACAATTGTTTTTTCTTTATACTTGCCTTATACCCATAATGGAATTTGATCATTATATCTAATAGTTTTGATGTCAGGTGAAATTGTGGGGTGCCCATGGACACCAAAAGTTAAAGAGAAAGCCCATGTTGCCAATTCTAAGGATCCAACCACTCTTGTGCATAAAGATTAACAAAGCAGATTCTCAGTCTACTCAAAGATTTTTAATTCTTGAGAACTTCAAAGGGCTTAGAGAGAAATAAAAAGAAAGTCAGACTTCAAAATCATACGTCCCGTTGTGGGCAAATGTCCAGCCAAACAGGATGGGCACAGATCAGGGCCCCTGGGGCCTGAAAGCTTTCAGCGCCCCCTGGTGGGGAACCACAGGCAAGGAAGGGGTAAGGCAGATCCCGGAGAGCTGGGGCAGTACAAGAGACCCCAAAATTCACAATGTACCTCCAAGCTGAATAATCCACCATGAGGTAATGATGACAGCTTCCATTGTCCTTGAAGAGTCCTCCCATCAAAGCAGAAATGTGTCTCCCCTTCCTTCTGTCCCACCTCAGTATATACCTCTGCCTCACTCCTTCCTCTTTCCAGCTGTCCCCCATTCTGGAAGTCTGGTTAATGGCATGATGGGAGTTGTAATCCAAGGTGGCCAAGATATTGGCAGCATGGAAGTGGGGGCAGGGAAAATGGCACCTGATTCTGCAGCTGTGACAATGCTCCATTTCCCCCTATAGCAGTTTGTCCACTTGAAATTATTATTAGGAGTCTTTTCTATGTGCAAAATATGTGTTATGTGGTCATAAAGGTAAAGTTATCTTTCCAATGGTAAAACTGGTTTTGAAAAATATAGCGATGGATGTCTAGAGAAAAGAGAAGTGGTGATCTATGCTTCAGCCAAGTAAAATTCCTGCCAAAAGATAGTGAAAAATGGGTAAAGTCATACTTGTTTTATATGCAAATTATGTAGTAGCAAACCTATTTTACTTTTGTAATTTAATTATGGGAAGTTCCTTTTTGAATTGCTCAGTCAGTCAGTAACTTTATCGTGACTCTACAATACAATTTAAGACTTAGATGCCAACATTACAATTATTTTGCTGACAAAACGTGAGCTCAGAAATGCTTTCTTCCTCTACTATTCTCCCTTATGTTCAGGGAGAGGTCTAAATATTTTGTCAAGACTCTTCTGGATGCTTAAAAGCATAATTGTTATAAAATCATTTGTATGTCACCTGCAAAGGTGAGGACTGAACTTTTATTTATTTACTTGTTAGTCTTTGAGAGCACAGTTAGTTGTTCTTGTAATTTTGAAAATACACATTGAATATAATTCCTTACTCATAAGGGCCAAAGAGTAATGAAGTAGGAAACAGTTAAAAAGCAATTTCATAGCCAAGCTTTTGAACTTTATCTCTTAGAATGCCTTTCAAGTTTCAACCCTTTTGGGAGACTTTTAGCTCTCCCCACTTTCTTCCTCTGCATTTGTATGCCTAGATAATGCATCTACCAGCTAATTTATATCTGTCATCATGGAGTGACTTTTTCTCAACTCAATTGTATGTATTTAGTGAATTTGGAAACTTTTATTTAACCTTGCATCCCTCTCTTTCTTTGTACCGTATGTTAAAATTTTTTATCTGAATAAATTTAGAACACTAATTGGCATTATCAAATGTTTTGTGAATGAGGCTGGATCCCATCCAGCAAGTAGAAAGGGGCTATAAGGGGTTATACACAGTAGAATGTTTTTATACTTAGAAAGAGGGTAGGACATGTTTATTAGCAAAAGAAAGGAAATATTTCAGACAATACCACCTTCCTTTTTGGGGAAAGCAGGGGGATCTTATCATGCAGATTTCCTCACTAAAGCTGAGCAGAAGAGTCCAGATTGATTAGTTTAAAATTCCACTTTTGAAACCGCAATTAGGTTAGGTATTGAGTCTTGGGGGAGCCCAGCATGAAGGAGTCCATTTTGAGTTTGTTGTTTCTTTTCTTTTTAACACATCCTTAGAATCGAAACGTTCAACAAATGTTTATATAAATTCAACATGGAATGGATTAATGTTGTATGGAAAGATGTCTGTATTAGGGTGCAGGGGGAAATTTCCCCATCCTTCTGGGCTCTTGGACAGGATGAGTAAGCAAAATAGCACCAGATCGGTAAACAAAGGAAAACTCAATTTAATAATACACACACACATACAAAATGGTTGTAAGTCCTCAAGAATAATGATGCAACTGGGGATATTTATCCTGTATGTAAGGACCTGGGGCATCAAGAAGAGAGAAAGGGGGAGATAGCACATGACAAAAAGGGGAAGACCTCATCCTTTTACTATGAAGGCAAAGATGACAGTCTCATGTCATTCGTTAATACAACTTTACCTGGATGATACTCCCAAACTAAATTCTTTTAGATCATGAAAAGAGGGTGCAATTATTACTCCTCCCATTTGGAAAAGGGCAAAGGACAAAACTCCTAGAGTCTTCACAGCTCTTAACTTAAAATAATGTGCATTCTTTAAGTAATGGTAATAGACTTACTGAAGCTCACAGGTTCTCTGTTGACCTTTAGTTCACATCAAGGTGGCACTTATTTGAAGAGGCCTACCCTGGGTATATTGAGAAAAGCCAGATTGACCTTTTTGGCAAGACTGAACCTATAATTCCTTCCATAACATTTATCACATTTTATAGTTATATCATTTACTTGCTATTAACCTACAATGAACTGGGAGCTCCACGAGAGCAGTCTCCATGTCTGTCTTGTTTACTGTATTATCTACAGTGTCTGATGCATGAGGTGGCATAACATAAGCATTCGACAAATATTTGTAGAAGGAATAAGTGAACAGCTTTGTTTAAGTTCTGGTTTGTCAAAAATTCAGGCGTTACTGTAAAACTATACCAAATATATGTTTCCAGTGAACTGAACTTAATTCATTTTATGTTTTACTGTATACAGAAGAGATAGGAGGGAGGGACAGAGAATGAGAGAAAGAGAGAGATAAAAAAGAGAGAGAACAAAGACTCTTCAAGGAGCTTATGGCTTTTATTTTTGCACTTATTTACCATTTCCTGCAAATGGATTTCACAATAAAGAAACTGCAGTGTCAGACATCATCATTGCTCTGAGGAAAATACAACCAGAGTACACTGAGGTTCAAATATAATTGATGCATAAATGCAAAACTGCGAGAAATTTATTGAAAATGACATTTTTTTCTTTTTATTTTTTAATTAAAATAGCATTGGCTTATAAACACAATATAGGCTTCAGGTGTACATCATTATAAATCATAATCGTTCTATGTTTGCCCCTAAAATTCTAATTCCATCCTTCTAAATGACTTTAAAACTCATTGTTCTAACTCCCACGGAGGCAAAAAAAAAAAAAATGTATGTAGGGCTGCAGATCTGGGAGGCCTGAAGGCCTGAGCCGAAGAAAAAGCTGGATTGGCTTGGTAGCGTCCCTGCGAGCTTCACCCAGAGGATTCTGGGACGGGATGTAGCTGGAGTTGGCCAAACTAAAACGATCCCGGAAGTAAGTGTCCTTTTCTAGTGGTTGGGCAGGGGGAGGGACTATGGAGTCACGCTTTGTCGCTGGGGCTGCTGGGACTCTGACCTCAGTCACCGTCATCACAGATTTCCTGTGAGACAAGTTCAGGGGCCTCTTGTCAGAACGATGCCTCATTACCGAAGTTACCGCTCCTCAAAGCGAAGTGGCCAATTAAGATACAGCGAACACCATCAGGGCAGAAAGCAGAAGACACGAAGATGCCGCCCCTGGTTGAATCACAAAGACCGGTCGCGCCGTCGCAGGTGGGAAGACAGTTACCATGTCCATTCTCGAAGAAGCTATTATGATCGCTCACCAGACCAGAGAGCATATGCACAGCAATATCAGCATCGTAGCCGCTACAGACGCTACAACTACAGCCGGGATAGGGGAGAGGCCTACAATGACACAAACTATAGCCATTATCAAGGGGAGGCCTACGATAACACCATCTACAGCCAATATCGAGGAGAGGCCTACGAGGCCACCAACTACAGCCAGTATCGAGGAGAGGCCTACGAGGCCACCAACTACAACCCATATCGAGGAGAGGCCTACTATGACACCAACTACCGCTATTACTATGAATGTCGTCGGGAAAACAACAAATACCGCACCCGACCGCGTATTAGCTGCAGGAAGTACAGAAGCCCATGTCGCAGCACCCCAACGGTCAACCGCTACTCTTTTAGTGATGACCAGAGAGCCAAGAGTATAAAGAAAAATACCAAGGGCTGCCTCCTCTACCATATCGGAGACTGGCTGCAAGAGCGCTATGAGATCATAAGCACCTTAGGAGAAGGGGCCTTTGGCCAAGTTGTCAAGTGTGTTGACCATCACAGGGGTGGGGCTGGAGTTGCCCTGAAGATCATGAAGAATGTGGGAAACTACAAGGAAGCAGCTCACCTTGAAATCAATGTATTGGAGAAAATCCGTGAGAAGGACCCTGACCACAAGAACTTCTGTGTCCAGGTATTTGACTGGTTTGACTACCGTGGTCACATGTGTATCACCTTTGAGCTTCTGGGCCTTAGCACCTTCGATTTCCTTAAAAGTAACAACTACCTGCCCTACCCCATCCACCAAGTGCGCCACATGGCCTTCCAGGTGTGCCAGGCTGTCAATTTCCTCCATAAAAACAAGCTGACGCACACTGACCTGAAGCCTGAAAATATTCTTTTTGTAAATTCAGACTACGAGCTGACCTACAACCTAGACAAGGGGAGAGATGAGCGCAGTGTGAAGAACACAGCTCTGCGGGTGGTGGACTTTGGCAGTGCCACCTTTGACCACGAACACCATAGTACCATTGTCTCCACACGCCATTACCGAGCTCCAGAGGTCATCCTCCAGTTGGGCTGGTCACAGCCTTGTGATGTGTGGAGTATAGGCTGCATCATCTTCGAGTACTATGTTGGCTTCACTCTCTTCCAGACCCATGACAACAAAGAGCATCTGGCCATGATGGAAAGGGTCTTGGGTCCTGTTCCTTTCCGGATGATTCAAAAGACAAGGAAACAGAAATATTTTTACCGTGGTCGCTTGGATTGGGATGAGAGAACATCTGCTGGGCGCTACATTCAAGAAAATTTAAAACCACTGCGATGGTATCTGACCTCAGAGGCAGAGGAACACCACCAGCTCTTCGATCTGATTGAAAGCATGCTAAAGTATGATCCTGCTAAGCGGCTGACCTTGGGGGAAGCTCTTCAGCACCCTTTCTTCCACTGCCTTCGTGCTGAGCCATCCAAGGTCAAGCCGTGGGGCTTGGAGTAGGATATTAGTCTGACCATCAGGCCCTGGATGCCCCTGCTTCTCTTACAGCGGTGGGTTGCCAGTCCAGGACACTGGTGCTTTATTAGACAAGTGACAGAGGTGGAGTCCTCTCCTTCCCCCTGGCTGCCTGTGTATGGTGAATATGTGAAAGTGAAAATATGAAAAAAAACTTGTACTGTTGTTTGGCCCCTGTCTTGTGCAGAATGCTACTCTGCCACACACTCTTTTCACCCTCATCTGCCCCTTCACCTGAGTTGGATGGGGACAGAATGAGGTAACCGGGTGTCATCAAACCCCATGTTTTATAAGGAATTTTGTAGTCTCTGTGAAATAAAATGACATGTTTTATCTGAGAAAAAACCTACATAAAGCTTGGATTTTTTACTCTATCGTTCAAGTTAAAATTCAGTAATGTATGTATTTCATAGCTCATACATACCAGGAGTCAAATGGTTATATTGACTAATACATAATGATTATCTTAAGGGGGCTTTTATCCTTCTAATGCTTCTTTGTTGATATTGCTTGGTGTATAAAGTTCATTTAACTATATATATTTAATTGTAATCTAAAAAGGAGTTCAGTACATAAAAATTTCAACTTTTCTTTTTGTATTTGCACTGATTTAATCTTTCAGCTGTTAATTACCAGTCCTGTATGCAAAGAACAAATCTAAGGTTTCCTTTTCAAAGAATTAACTTACCCTTTGAATCGTGAGTTGATGCTTTCCGTTTTGATGTTTGGTTTCCCTAAAGTCCTCTGAGGGAAAGATGAGTATATCGGGCTGGATGTCTCTAAAGAATCTGAAAGTTAAAGTTGATGTGAAATATAATTATCAATGTTTGTTGTAGGGGCTGATAGAAAATTTCCCCCTGCCTCTCTGGGCTATTCTTGGGCAGGAACGATCTTGGGCAGTAACAATCAAATGAACTTTCTATAGATTGATAGGAGAAAAGAACAAATTTAATTACAGAGGTATGCCCTATGTGTACCCATGGGGCAAAATGAGGGGTGATATCCCGAGCCAAGGAATGGGATCCGGGCCTGGGCTTCAAAGAGAGAGGAGGGTCTCCTATGATGAGGAGAGGGGGGCTCCTATTACTGCATTTAGATGTTTGCCATGCCATATAGATGGGTTTAGCTGGTAAAAATTCTAATTTATAGTAATATGTGAAACCTTTATTATTCTAGGTAGTTAAAGAAATGGTAAAAATTTCTTATCAGCCTGCAGTGCTTCAGTTGACCTTAGCTGAAATAATCCACACACCAGAGAGATATTCTTCAGAAAGCCTGTTTTAAACAACTTGGGGAGGTCTGTCTTTCATTAACTCTGGAATACTGTGGCAACCTGTATTTGTCTATAGAGAAAATATAGAAAGGTAGAGGATTAGAGTTAGCAAGCTAGGAAATAAGGTTTGGAAATTAGATTATCTACAGAATAATGATTTTTTTTTTTTAATTTCAAGTGTCATTTGGAAAATGTTTAAGTAAAAAAATACCAAAAATTGGCATATGAAATTCGGTAGTTTGAACTGAAAACTGATAAGAAATGTAAAATTTAAAAGGTAAGTGAAATCTTATTAAATTACAATCTGACATTTATGGAATGAGTGCAAGGAAAGGATCAACATTTACAAACCTCTATTTATGATTGATTTGTGAAAAAATTTAAAAAAAATAATGCCTTGAAAAAGAATACTTCCCAGCGATATCCTCAACATGCAATGTGATTGTGGGGCACTCTCTGTGGAATCTTCTCCGTTATCACCACTGCCTTATCTTCAACCAAAATTATTTGTCAAATCTTCTTAATTCCGTCTGACTCCTTAATTGTGTTTTTCAGCCAATCTGTCCACAAAACTGCTCTCGGGGTTCCTTACATGAAATGTCTTTATGACATTGCCTTATGTTTCAACTCCTTAGCTTTGCCTTTTTTTTATAAAAAAAAAAAAGATTTATTTATGCATGCAAGAACTAGGGTACAGGCCAGAGGTGTGGGGGGGTTGGGGGGAGAGAGGATTCACCAGAGACAGAGTGGGGAGCAGAACAGGCAGACTGACTGAAATACACGGCTGAGGGGAGCAGTGGGTGAGACAGGAGAGGTCTGCTGCACCATGTGGGTTGCTCCCTGGCTGCGAGTCGAACTCATGCTGCAGATAACTTCATAGGTTGTGTCTCAACCCCTTGCGCCACCAGGGAGGCCCCTCATCTCCTTACCTTTGCCTTTAAGGTTCTGTACCTTGTGTCATTTTCCTACTTTAACTTCTTCATTTCCTTCTACCTCTGATTTTCCTATCTCTATTTTATGGAAGTTTCCCTAGACCTTGAATAATGGTTGTAACATTCTTGACCTGATAAGATTCTCATCACACTTTGGGACTTAGACAAAATCTGATCTTCTGGGTGATACATTTTATTAATTCTTTGAGAAGGAATTAATCTCCTTCTCTCCTTTGGTGGCCCTGTAGCATTTTGTACTAACCTGTACTGCGTCAGGTATCATTTTGCTTGGTAATTATTTTCTAAATGCTCTTCTCAATCCAATTATGACTACCTCAAGGGCCAGGACTTTGTTTTTCATACCAATCATTTGATTGGAGGTCTGTACACAGGCAAACCTTACTGTGGAAACCAAGATATCTGGAGCATCCTCACTTCCCCAGCCCTCCAGGTTGGGGAGGGTAGAGAGGACACCTTAAGGGCAGAGAATAGGAGTGGGGACACAGCCCTTGGGGGAGGAGAGAACCAGGTTGGACAATGGGAAGGTTTTCTTTACAAAAATAATTACAGCAATCTCTTTACACCTGGGTACCAGGAATTGGAAAACCAGATGGGCTGGCTAGTTGTATTTACAAAGGAAATGGTGGAGTGGATGGAATTGGGGGTTGGAGGAGGTAGAAGGCCTTGGGAAAGGTCAGGACACCAATAAATAGTAGCTCTTTGGTCCCTAACCCCTTGTCTGTCTGCCTTCCTTCTCTTCCCTCTTCAGAACCAGTAAAACATCCTCTAAAATGTGCACCATGGGGGTGAGGCTGATGGAGGGACTGGAGGTGCATACAGGGACTCATTTACTTCTGCTCTCTAGTCTAGGGGCCCAAAGGGCTGGGATTTTCTATGATAATGCATATTACACTGATGCTTTGCCTTTTGACTAAGATCAAGTTTAGTACAGTGCCTACCGTGTATTAGAAATGTATTTCATTTTTTAAAAGATTTATTTGTTTATGCATACAAGATCTTGGGTACAGGCCTGAGATGTGGGGGGGTGAGAGGATTCACCAGAGACAGAGTGGGGAACAGAACAGGCAGACTGACTGAAATACACTGCTGAGGGGAGCAGCGGGTGAGACAGGAGAGGTCTACTGCACCATGTGGGTAGCTCCCTGGCCCGCAGGGGCTAGAACTCCTGCTGCAGAGGCTGCAGATTGTTTCATAGTGCTGTGCTTAATGCCTTGTGCCACATGTATTTCAAATGAATCATTATACATTGTTTCATTTTTGTTTTTAACTTTTTTTTAGGTAACATTGTTTAATAATATTGTTTGTGATTTAGGGTATAGGATCTACCCTTCAGGTGTTTGATCATACCACATTCACAACCAAAATACCCATAGTCCTCTCCTGTAGCCCATTGTGTGTCCTTTCCACTATGTTCTCTCCTTACCCCCCCCTTCTCTTCCCCCTCTGGAATCCAAACAAATAGCAAACCCTAGAAAACTGACTGAAGAGTTGAGGCTTTGTATTATAAAGTATATAGTTATCTTTTTTATTTGTTTATTTTTTATTTATATAAGCACTGGGTACAGTCAGAAGTGCGGGAGGGTGAGAGAATTCACCAGAGCCAGAGTGGGGAACAGAACAGGCAGACCGACGAAATACACTGCTGAGGGGAGCAGCGGGTGCCAGGAGAGGTCTGCGCGCCATGTGGGACCCTCGCCAGTGGCTGGGGATCGAACCGGCGCTGCAGAGGCTGCGGGCAGCTTCACAGCCCAGCACTCAACCACTGTGCCACCAGGGGAGACCATGTATTATAAAGTACAAACATCACCAGAAGCTAGTGTGCCTTCACTTTTTCTCCCAGAGGTGGTAATATAGTGGTAGAGAAATGGTAAGGAGAGGAGCTTTTGGAAGTCAACTTCCTCAGTAACTAGGATTGAAAAAGGACAGTTTCAAGAATTGTACCTAGGGCCTCCCCAGTGGCGCAGCAAGTTGAGTGCAGCGCTGTGAAGCTGTCTGCAGCCTCCGCAGCGTGGGTTCAATTCCCAGTCAGCCAGGGAGAAACCCACATGGCGCGGCAGACCTCTCCTATCTCTCCTGCTGCTCCCCTCAGCAGTGTCTTAGGTCCATTTGCCTGTTTTGCTCCCTGCTCTGTCTCTGGTGAATTCTCTCACCCTCCCGTGCCTCTGACCTGTACCCCAGTTCTTGTATAAATAAAAAAATCTCAAAAAAAGAAACAAAGAAATGTACTCATTTGAATTTCTATGTTTGATTTTTTTGTGTGTTTGTGAGTTTTTATGTGATATGTGGTAAATGTGATTGTAAAGTATCTAAGAGATAATAAACACACAAACATGCCTTTTACCTCCTATCACAATCCTTGCTAAACTTTTCCTAAATGCTATGACAAAAGAAACAAAGATCACATGTACTAGAAGGACTGTGCATGAAAACAAAAAAAAAAAATCAAAACATTTTTAACTTTTTGCTAATTATTTCTTCAGCATACTTCAGCATAACATTAGACCTTTAAAAATGTTTTATAGACTTCAACAAGGAATATAAGGCAATAAATGTATTATCCAGAGAGACAAAATATTGACATTTGAAATATTTTTTTTTTTTACTTATTTATCGTATCAGCTATTGTCAGACACAAAGTAAACTTAATGAGGTCTAATGGGATATACAGTTGGTTAAATTGGGCAGAGTTTTGTTGATTTATATTTTCACACTCTCCTAGACTTTAGAATCAAGTAGTAAATTATGAAATTGTGTGTATTACTTTTGTTTATCATCTTACTTAGAATATCATACCTGACTCAATTTAGAGTAGATAATATTTCTAGTTACTTTTCCTTAAAGACAAAATACCTGCTCAAATGTGTTTCAGCATTTTAATTGTGTTAATAGAAGTAATTCAAAGCTCAGCATATTCCACCACAGAGACAATGAGGACAATGATTGTTGACTCTGATGAATATTTTCCCAACGTAAATAGGTTTTTTTCATCTTTTTAATATTTCATTTTACAAGGCAATCTAGGAAAGGAAAATATACCTTTATCTTTACTATGAAGATTAGAAGCAGAAGTAATTATTATCAACATCATTAATATTATCAACAGTATT